GGCTGAGTTGACACATGTTTTGGGGCCACATAGTTTGATCCATGACAGCAACCGTATAGTCAACACAAGTGCTGCCCAGCAGTCCTATGCCAGCTTTATGATTCTTGGTGCAGCCGAGTCCACTCTGGTGATTGTTGTGTATTTTGAGTGCTCTTCAACCTAGGAAGCTTGTTTCCCAGCACTGTAGTGGCCAGTATTCTATGGTGATCCCAGAGGGTTTTCCTTGGCTAGTTTTTGGAAGCAGATCATTTAATCTTTCTTCTTTTTCTTAGTCTGGAAACTCCACTGAACCCTGTCCACCAAGTTTCATAGGACCGTTGTGTTTAAATAAGATTATACACACACCCACACATGACCCTCAGTTGGTGTTTGCCTTCCTCTATGGATGTATGTGTCTCTTTATCTATGCTTCTCTTTATATAATTCCAAAGTGACTAAGTGTGGATTCCACCCTACAGTGGTATAACCTCAATGGAGTGGCTGATGACATTATATTAGATTGCATTATGGAAGGTGGTGATATTACACTATATTCGAAGGAAGGATGCACTCAACAACAAAAACAGTAATTACTTTACATTAGATTGCACTTAGAGGTATAGAGGTTAGGATTCTAACACACGCTTTGGGGGGATACAGTACAGCCCCTACAGTGGTCTGAGGAGATGAATTTGAACTAAGATTTGAATGATGAGAAGAAGGCAACCATGCAAAGATCAGAGGAAGCTGACTGCAGGGAGATGAAATAGTTGCTGTGGTCTTGAAGCAGCCCTGATAGGGAACAAGGAGAAGGCCAGTTGGCTGGAATGAAGTGAGGAAGGATGAGACCAGTGTGAGGACATGGGTGACCTTTTCACCCAGGAAAAGGAATTTGGATTTTATTCTTAAGTAGGCTTTTTTCTTGTACTTTATCTACAGCTAAGGTATACCATGTAAGCAGCTACTAGAGTTTCCAATGGGTGTAGGTAAGACTTCAGGCAAACATTCTTGACATTAGAAAATAAGGTAACAACATTGTTGTCATGAAGGGCAAGAATGAGTGCAGATTGCATTGTTGGTGTTGTCAAGTACTGTGGAGTCTTTTCCAACTCATAGTGACCCTGCACAGGGTTTCCGAGGCTGTAAATCTTTACGGCAGCAGAACACCTCATCTTTCTCCTGAAGAACCACTGGTAGTTTCGAACTGCTGACCTTGAGGTTTGGCAGCCTGACTCGTAACCACTACACTACCAGAGCTCCTTGAAGATTGCATAGTATGGTATATATATATTTTTAAATCTGCCACGGAATGTTTTATGTGTCTCAGACAATAAACTTATCTACAATTATTGCATGGCCATGTAGTAATTGCTGCCTGGTACCATACCCCAGATAACACATTTTACAAGTACTATTTATTTTTCTGGGAACAGAATTTTATTACCTACAAAAGAGCATCATCAGGGAAGGTTTAATCTTGACAGACAATCTAGAGCCCCAATATATGATGCTTTACAGGTATCATTGATGAGAAGTACTTTTAATCATCTTTCATTTGAGGGAATTTCCTTGAAAAATGAATCAATAATGTAGAAACCACAGGTTGTGGGAGAAGACAATGCATGTGTTACCATTTGAAGATATAAATGTTCTCACAGGGCATAAGATTTATTACTGTTGTTTAAATCAGCCTTTTTTTTTTTTTTTTTTAAACCAAATGCTCGTAGCAGTGCAAGATTTGCAATTGTAAAAACTGGATATCTTGAATTAGATAAGGACATACTCAATGTCACAGTATCTCTTTTCTCTAACCAATATGTATGAATGGGCCTCAAAAAGTTTGTGGAAAAGTGGAATTGAAATATAATGGATTCTTTCCATGAACTTTCTGAAGCTTCTTCATGTATAAGTTTTGTTTAGAAATTTAAGCATGCATGGACTGTTATTGTACATGCATTCATTCATTTGTTTATCAAATGCTCACTAAGCACCTACCACTGGGCAGATAACTCTGCAGTGGTTCTGGTTCCTTAATTCGACCCAAAAGGATCTGTGAGTGTTATGGATGGTTGTCAGGTGCAGCATGAGAAAGAAAGACATAGAAAACAAATAGAATTTAGGACTTCTAGGTCCCAGAAAGGAAACAACAGTATACCTCTAAGTAGGGTCACACAGGAGTTGCAACCAGGAGTAAGGTGCAACTATAGGAAAAGGCTTATATGTGGAAAGCAGGGTGGGGTCTCAGGGTTAGTGTGTGCTGAAGTCTTATTGGTCCATTTAAGGTTTCTAATGCATTCACACAGGAGAAGAGATACATTTTATCATGAGGAATCATATGGACATAGCCAGGAATGGCAAGGAGTAAGTACAGCTATAGAGACTGGGCAGACCATAGCATCAGGGGCTACACCGTGGGCAACCTTACAAGGTATGGTCAAGAAGGCAAGTTAGAAACTCTAACTGTGGGTAGACTGGCAAGATAGGAATGAGCATTTCAGAAACTGGGTGAAAGGGAAAGCAAAAGGAATTAATGGATGTCTAGGAGTCCTGGTGTGGCATTATGGTTTAATGCTTTGGACTGCAAAGTCAATTTGAATCGCAAGGTCGGTGGTTCAAGCTCAACAGCTGCTCCTAAGAAACCCTATACAGGGTTACTCTGGGATGGTACAGACTCAAGGTAATGACGTATAGCAACAACAACAAAGGCAGCAACTATGGAAGTCACACTTGGCTTCTGACATCTGGGTCTTAATGACATAGACACACAGCTTGCCTTTGTAGAACCTACAATTTAGGAGATGATGTTCACTGAAGTTATCATATCTGAAATAATGGCCACATCCACTTTTATTAAAATTTAAGTACTTTTATAGATGTTTAGGAATTAAAAGTAGATTGAATGCCTACCTATGAATCTGTTATATATCCTGATTTTCTAAAATAGTTGTTTTGTATTTCTTTGAACCAGTGTTCCACTGTGTCTGATTTTCAGACTCTCTGAAATGCTCTTTGTACAGCTACAACTTCTCAGACATGAGGAGGTGGGTGGGCTGTATGGAAGCTGGTACACTGAGTTCATGTGACGTAATGGGTAAGCAGGGTTTCAAACTGGTTCTTCCCAGTTCAGACATGGCCCAGGAAGCAAAAATGGAACAGAACCAAATTTGTAAAAATGTGTGTGCACCAGTATAGTAATTGTAATGTGAAAAATTATGGTTGATTTCCATGACACAAGCTTAGTTTCCTTCCTAGAAAACAAGGACAGTGTGCATGTGTGCATAACAAGTCTCGTGATTGATAGAGTCAGAAACAATGGCGTCTGGTCCAAAGATGGCAGCCAACTGCTCTACGTGTCACTCCCCAGAGTCCAGTAGTAATTCGGCCTTCCACATTATGCTCCTGAAAGGGCTTACTGCACTTCTCAGTCTCCCATTCCAGGACTTCGACCCCTACTTTTTCCCATTCCCATTCTTGTTACTGTACCTCATTTTATAAACTTGAGTCTTTCCTGGATTTTGCTGCATCAGCTATGACTGAACAGATTCAAGCCGGTTTAAATCTCTACAGGTAGGGAGCTCAGTCTCTGCAGTTAAATTCCTTGGATTATGGGTTAACATGCTGGCTACAAAGTCAGTTTGACCCACAAGGTCGGCAGTTCAAGTTCACCATCCACTCCTCAGAAACCCTATACAGGTCCGCTATGGGTCAGAACCTACTCAACAGCACTTAACGACAACAACAACCCTGAAGTAAGGCTGGAATATTTCTTTACAATTAAGTCTTAAGGAAGGCAGGGGTTAAGTGCTGTTGAGTCGATTCCAACCTATAGTGACGCTGTATAGGGTTTCCAAGAAGCAGCTGGTGAGCTTGAACCACCAACCTTGCAGTTTAAATGACTTTGCAGTCTGACGCATTAGCCCACAGCACCACACCAGGAGTCCTTGTTGTGTACTCATGCCAACACAATGACCAGCCAATGTTTACAGTGTCTTTCAAATCTTTCCGACCTCAATTCACAACAAGAAATATTTTCTGTTAGATTAAGTTTACACATGTATGTACACACTTAAAAAATGAACATTTCATAACATGATACATACTTTTGCTGCTTTTTGTTGTTCTTAAGTGCCATTGAGTCTATCCAATTCATAGCAATCCTTCTAGGGAGCAGCTGGTGAGTTTGAACTGTTGACCTTGCAGTCCAGTGCTTTATTCCACAGCGCTACACCAGGATTCCTTGCTACCTGTAAATGTGCACAATATTTTTGTTGCATTTGAATCCATATCATTTCATTCCATTTTTTCATCCTATGAAAAGAGACCAACAGTTTGACAAATACTGACCTGAGAGATTGGTATACCTAAACAAGAATAGTAATGAGAGTTAGAAGAGCAACGTAGGCTATCCTTTAGCTCTCGCTGTTTGCTATTTTCTCAGTATCCAGTGCCCTCTCCTACTTAAAATAAAACAGAACACAAACTACACACACACACACTCACACACACACACAAAAGCTCATAAACACTCATGAGTTTCTTTGTCAAGAAACAAATAATAGCTTGGAATTTATGTTTTTCCACAGTTTTAAAGTAATTAGCTTAATTTGACATTTTAAAACTTGGAGTTGTTTTTGTTCCAACTGTGTTGTAATCATTGTTACTACAACGTCAATTCGGTACAGCCAGAAAACTACTTCTGTCCCTACCTCTGCCTTTACAAACAGGTTCAACAGCGTCCTCTGAGCCTCAGCTGCTTTACCTTTGTGCAGGGGTGATCATAAGAAGGGATTTCAAAAAGTTTATGGTAAAATGGAATTGATTGCTAATTCATTTTTCCATTATCTTTTTGAAGTCTCCTGGTATTTGTTCTCTCTCCCTGCCCCCATTGACCTGGGACTGTTTGAAAATCAGCTGAGGTACATATTTGAAATTGTTTTATAAACTAAAGGGTGCTTTACAAATACAAAGACTATTTTACTACGTTTGTAACCTTCCCCTTCTTAAAAAAAAAACCCTTGTAGATTTCTCAGTTGAACACACTGATTGCACTTTTGCTGGGAGAACTTACACCTGGAGACAGGCAGAAGATCATGACGATTTGCACCATCGACGTCCACGCCAGAGATGTGGTGGCAAAGCTCATTTCTCAGAAGGCAAGTTGCTTATAGAAATTATATGTGCTCTTTGTTGTTTCTAAATAGTGCTGCTTACTGTCAAAGCAGTTCCAAGAAAGTTACCGTCTTTCTAAAATTTTCTGTATTTTGATTTGTTGTTGTTGTTAAGTGCCATTGAGTCAGTTCCAACTCATGGCAACCCTATATAGAGTGTCTGAGGAGTGGCTGATTAAACTTATTTTGGGTGTGTTTGATTTAGATTGACTAATACCCTGATAGCCCCAACAATGGAGCCACACATACCAATGATCATAAAGATGACATGGGACCAGACAAAGTTTTGTTCTATACTGTATGAGGTCGCTATGAGTCAGAGCTGACTCAGGGGTAATAAATGACAATAGCAGTAATCATCCTGAAGAGAGGTCTCTTAAACAGTATCCCAAAGTGTTTTGTCAAGTCAGGAGCCTTGAATCATTACAAAATGGACCCAAGATGGAAGAGCTGTGGAAGTTACTAAGTTTGTCTCCCTGTCTTCTGGCGTCTCTACCTTCCCCATGTTGGTCCATTGGCCTTTTGATCTCATCTCTATAATTTATATGACCAATAGCTATGAGTGTGTGTGTGTGTGTGTGTGTGTGTGTCATTTAAATCATCTCTGTGTGTTTTTAATCCATTGTTTCTTGAAGAAAGAGAAACAATGGCCTTGATTCTGGGTTATATCGCTTAGGTCATGCCTGCTCTCTTCACTCTCATGGCTAAATAATTCACTTTTAGAAGTAACTTTCTAATCCATTCTGTGTATTAATAACTTTCTTTGCCTACTTCTCCATAAAATCCATGTGTCTTTTAGATGCTGGCAGTATTTAATGGGAAGGAATAGTTTTCTCAGCCTTGTGTGAAACTATACTGCTACATATGAATGTCAGGAATGCACTTTATCTGCTGGACAACATTGATCTGTCTCAGTTTACATCCACTTCCTCGAAATTCCTAGTCTTCTGGAGGTGTTGGCAGTTCTTTCTAAAATTTAAGTGTGTTATATTGCTTGAAATATATATATATATATATATATTAGTTCTTTCTCAAATTATAGAATCACAGTGTATTTTAATTCTCTCTGCAAAGTATAAGCAAATAGTTATTCACATGAGACTTAAATTTAAATAAACATTTCTTAATTAAGCCTCAGGGCTATTAATGAACCATGGTCTTTAATTGTTAACTCCAAGACTAATCCTTGCAAAACACCATTGACCATGTATTCATTTTAATGATGAACTTCTGATAACCACTCTTTGAATAATGGCCTTGTACTTTCTTATACAAGGGATGTTCAAATATTAAAAGACAATGGAATTTTTCCACAAACTTTTTGATGCCCCCTTATATACATATTTATCCTGACAATTTGCTTGTAGTAGCACAGGTTATAATTTAACATGGATTCTTAATTTTGCCCTAAAACAGATACAGACTTTGTCTAATAATTCCTGATATTTTAAATATTTGTTGTTGTTGTTGTTAAGTGCCGTCGAGTCAGTTCCGACCCATAGCGACCCTGTACAGGGTTTCCAAGGCTGTAAATCTTTACAGGAGCAGAAAGCCTCCTCTTTCTCCTGCGGAGCAGCTGGTAGTTTCGAACTGCTAACCTTGCGGTTTGCAGCCCGATTCGTAACCACTACGCAACTAGAGCTCCTTATAAGTAGGCACTATTGAGACCTATGTAGTTATCAGATAAATAAGTAAACAATTGTTTTGGTAACTTAAAGTGAGTCCTAATAAATTTAGGGTTGTATATACATTGAAAGAGACCACTTTTTGCTTGTTTTTATGCTTTGTTTTTCATATTTGAAGAAAAATGGATAAAGATAAATTAGGTAGAAAAATAGGAATGAAAAATACTGATACTGTAATTTAATTAAAAAATTAAGTAGGAAATCTCTGTGCTAAAAGCAGACCTAGTTGAAAATAAGGTTTATTTGTACCTCCACCAGGCAAGAACTAGGCAACTCATGTCATTTTAACCAGAAGTTATATTGCTCTATCTGATTTCAGTGATATGAGAACAAAGCTATGAAATTATCTAATCCCCTGGGGTGATTCATAAAAGGGGAAAGTGCTGCTTAATCTGATTGATACTGTTTTACATAAGGGCCCTATCGAAAGCAAGATTTTTATTGTACATACATTTCTAAATAAGGATTCTACCATTGACACCCAATAACATACATGACATTTCCTATTTGTGAGAATTTTTTATGTAAAATGTGAATCAATAGAGTCGATTAGGTTAATAAAATTCTTGCCTCAAAATATCACTGTACTATGTGTAGCAGGACTACTTCGAATCAGTTAAGTGCTTGGCTACTATCCCAAAGGTTGGCAGTTTGAGTCCAACTAGAAGTACCTTGGGAAAAGGTTACAGCCTTTAAAACTATGTAGCACAGTTCTATTCTACATACTTGGGGTCAAGCAGAATCAGAATAAACACAGTAGCAATTGTACTTTTTCTAAATGCAAAATAATGATTTTGCCCTGATTTTAGGTTGTCAGTCCCCAAGCTTTTGCTTGGTTGTCTCAACTTCGTCACCAGTGGGAGGACACCCAGAAACACTGCTTTGTTAATATTTGTGATGCCCAGTTCCAGTACTTCTATGAATACTTAGGAAACAGTCCTCGACTTGTGATCACTCCACTAACTGACAGGTAACAATTATAGTCAGTGTAAGACATGGGAAAAACCAAGCCGAAATATCCCCTAGCATGAGCAAAGATGAATGAGATTAAATGGGAAAGAATGGGAAGAGAATGATGAACAATTTGGGAAAACATATGTGCACATGGAAGCATGTGTACATTAACTAAGTAAATAAGACAGTGAATATTAACTTTTATTTAGAGATAACCTAAACAGAACTAAATTAGAGAAACAGCATCACAGAAGTTATGCAGGTTATAAGGGATGAACTCATGAACAGATTCTTTGGTTCAAGGTAGCATCTTCATTCACTAAGTCCACGCTTCATAGTTACCTATGGCTAACTTTCAGATTTTTAATTAATATCACACGCATGTAAAATTTAACTGATGATAATTTTAAATTGCTGCAACAGTACAATGAGAGAAAATTACCAGAAACTCAAGCTGGACTCAGACGATAATGTGAAACTAAGGATATCATTGCTGACATTAGCTAGTTCTTGACTGAAAACCGAGAATACCAGAAAGATGTATACATGTGCTTTATTGACTATGCAAGGTATTTGACATAACAAACCATGGATAACATTGTGAAGAATGGATAACCCAGAAAAGTTAATTGTGCTCAAAAGGAATCTGTACATACACCAAGAGTCGGTCATTCCAACAAAAGGATACTGAAAGGTTTAACATCAAGAAAGGTGTACACCAGAGCTGCAGTCTTTCATCTACTTATTCAATCTGTTTGCCAAGCAATTAATCTAAGAAGTTAAATTATATGAAGAAAAATATGGCATCTGGATTGGACAAAGACTCATTAACAACCTGTGACATGCAGATAAAAACCTTGCTTGCTGAAAGTGAAGAGGACTTAAAATACTTACTGATGAAGATCAGCGATGATAGATTCCAGTATGGATTGCCCCTCAATGTAAAGAAAACAACAATTTTCACCATTAGACCAATAAATATCATCATGATAAATGGAGAAAGGAATGAAGTTGTCAAAGACTTCATTTTGCTTGCATCCATAATCAACACTCATAGAAGCAGCAGTCAAGAGATCAAACATAGCAAATCTGCTGCACAAGACCTCTTTAAAATGTTCAAGAGAAAAGATACCAGATTGAGGATTAAGGTGTTTCTGAACCAAACTAAGATATTTTCAATCATCTCATATACATATGGAAGTTGGACAATCAATAAGAAGAGCATACAAAAATTGATGCATTTTCGTTATGGTGTTGGAGAAGGATATTGAAAGTACCATGGATTACACAAAGAACAAACAAATCTGTCTTAGAAGAAATATAGCCAGAATGCTTCTTAGAGACAAGGATGGTTAGACTTCATATCTCATACTTTTGGACATGTTATCAGGAAACATCAGTCCCTGGAGAACGACATCATTCTTGGTAAAGTGGAGGACACTTAAAAACACTGGCCAGCACCTAATAAATAATTTCTGAAACCAGGTTCCCCATTCTCTGTAACCAGCCCTCCGGCCCCCTTATTAGAAGTGTAAAAAATAGCGCAGGGAATTTAGTATGTTCAAATTAATTTTTGAGCGATTCTGTATTAGAATCAACTAGATGGCACTTAACAAAAATAGCGTATAGTGAAAGGCCAAGAAGAAGGAGAACTTAAGAGTTATTAACTGAAGTTCTGTTGTGAGTACTGTTCCGGGTACATGGGTAGCAGTGCTGAGTTAAACAGGTAAGGGTCCTGCTCTCACAGAGCTTACTTTCTAATTGAGTGGTGGGTAAAGAAGATAAATAAACAAAGTAATTTGTTGTTGTTGTTGTTGTTGTAAAATGCCGTCGAGTCGGTTCTGACCCATAGCAACCCTGTACAGGGTTTCAGAGGGTGTAAATCCTTACCGGAGCAGAAAGCCTCATCTTTCTCCTGCGGAGCGGCTGGTAGTTTCGAACCGCTGACCTTAAGGTTTGCTGCCCGATTCGTAACCACTACGCTACCAAAACAAAGCAATTAGCAAAATAATTTTAGGTGGTACTGTGTGCTATAATAAAGTGAAATAGGATGGGATCTGAAAAGTAGGTTCTTGAAGGGAAAACCTCCTGAAGATTTGATGAGAGAACATTGGAGCTGAGACCTGAATTATAACAAGGAACCAGCTACTCAGTATCCAGCTGCAGAAGTCAAAAGCAAGTACAAAGTTCCCAGGTTGGCAATGAGCTTGGCCGGTTCAAAGGATAACAAGAAAGCCCTGATGGCTGGAGTGTATCCGGTGTACCAGGAGTACCTGTTACTAAAAGTTCATTGCCAATTGGCTCCATGTATATATACACACACTCACACTCAACAGATACACATATGTAGCTGTTGTTTTGGTTAAGTGCCATCTAGTCGGTTCCAACTCATAGCAATGCTGTGTAGGGTTTCCAAAGAAAGACTGGTAGGTTTGAGCTACCAACCTTGTGGTTAGCAGTCCAGTGCTTATCCTATACTACCACTGTACATATGAGGGGGCTTCAAAAAGTTCATGGAAAATAGAATTAAAAGATAATCAAATTTTTTCATGAACTTTTTGAAGCCTTCTTCACACCAAGAGTCAGCATTTTAAAGGGGGGAGGATACATCCCACCACTGATCTGTCACTTGGTCACAGGGTTGTCTAGCATATTGCTTTAATGCTGGACACTATGCTACAGGTGCTTCCCATAGCTATAGGGCAACACAAGTAGACAAGTTTCAGCGGAGCTTCCAGACAAAGACAGACGAGAGAAACGCTGAACAAACTACTTCTGAAAATTAGCCAGTGAAAATCTAACAGAACAAAATCATATAGTCCTGCTAGTGCTGGAAGATGAGTTGGAAGACATTACCCAATAGCGGCAACAAAGGATTCAACCAATGATCATGAAGATGGAGGACCAGGCTGTGTGTCCTTTTATTATACATAAGGTCGCCATGAGTCAGAGCTAACTTGAGCACAACTTACAACAGCAAAGGATATACCATCTTGACATGAATTTATTTGACTTTGTATTCTAATCTCTGCTGATTTATTTGGTAGGAGGAAGTTCAGTGAATTATTAACATTCAAGAAAGAGAAATCCCATCCAAGATCATAGGAATGCTTGTAATTATACAGTACCACTAAAGTATAATAAAATTTATCTGGATATAAAATTGTAGAGTTTCAAATAGATGTCTTTAAAGTGGCTTGTGACGGTTGTGTTAGGAGACTGGGGCATTTCACTTAGAAATTGTGATGATTCTTGCCCGTCTGCTTTAGTACGATGGATAAAAATGCATGATTGAACAGATTCACCTAAAAATTGTCAAACTGCAAATGTTTGGAATCTATTTTTATGTATACTAGTGTGAATGGAAAAGAGGGGACAGGAGGCAAAAAATGACTGGAGAGGAAGGGGAAGAGGCATTATGAGTGTATTATTATGAAGAAGACTGATAGCTCATTAAAGTTTCTGATTTTTAAGAAATCATTCTGTGGTATTTTTGAAGTTACAGAGGAAGATGAGTATGCATTTTGATAGTGTGAATAGTACTGGATAATATATTTATATATATTTATTTTCCATACCATTCTTTGGATTATCTCCTATTTGTTTACATTAACATCATAATATCTTTAGAATACTGTGTATCATGCACTATTGATCTTCGCTTTGTGTCGTTGGCAGGGCAGTTAGGATCTCTTCTTCCACATATGGGCAGGGCAGGCTCAGAGACTTAGGTCAACCAGAAGGACTTGGGCTGGAACACAGTTAGGTTAGGAGGGTGCAGGCTAGGCAGCTGTTGGAGAGAGACGCCCCCCTCCGCTCCAATACAATGGCTCAAATAAACCAGATACTGATGTCTCCTTTGTGCAACAGTCTACAGGGCCGTAATCCGGTCATACAGGTTGGCAGGTGGCTGACATCATGAATGTGGCTTCCACATTTGTTACAGTCAGTGGGAAAAAGGAGCCTAAGAAAGTGTTCTGTGGGTTGCATATATCACTCCAGCATGTAAATCACTGGTTAGAGCTTAGTCTCACCCAGTCACTGTTGGCTGGAAGGGAGGTTGGGCATGTAGCCTTCAGCCATGTAGCTAGCCCAAACTCGGGAACCAGAAGAAATGATTGTCAGAGTGCTCTGATTCTTAATCCAATGATCTTGTCACCTCCATATTAATTGAAAAATGCACTTCAGCAGGCAATTCATATGAAATACAAAAGTGCTTTCCATTTTCATAAGTAATTGCTTCTAGTTGCAAAATATTTTAAAATTTCAAGTAATTTACCTTTTGTTTTGTTAATTTATCTTTATGTTGTTGTTGTTAGGTGCCATCCAGTCGGTACCGACTCATAGTGACCTTATGCACATCAGAACAAAACACTGCCGGATCCTGGTCCAACCTCACTACTGTTGCCACACTTTAGTCCACTGATGCTGCCACTTGGCTAATCCATCTCGTTCCTCCTTTCCTTAAAGTAAACGTCATTTTGTGGAAGAGGAAACTGAGGCACACTGATGTCAAATGACTTATCTAAGATTGCTATTGTTGTTGTGAGGTGCCTTTGAGTCGGTTCCAACTCATAATGACCCTATGCACAACAGAACTGAACACTGGCATGTCCTGCCATCCTCATAATTGTTGCTTGTTATATTTAAGCCCATTGTTGCTACCACTGTGCCAGGCCATCTTGTTGAGGGTTTTCCTCCTTCTTGCTCTGACCCCTACTTTTCTAAGCATGATGTCCTTCTCCAGAACTCGGTTCTTCCTAATAACATGTCCTGGTGTGGTACTGTGACCAGAAGTTCAGTTTGAACAAGATCAGCAGTTGAAATACACCAGCTGTTCTTCAGAAGCCCTATATAGGGCCACTATGAGTCAGAACCAGCTCAACAACCCTTAATAACAACAACATGTTCAAAGCACAAGAAACAAGTTCTAAACATCCTTCCTTCTAATTTCTATGTTAATTTAGTATTAATATAGAATAATTGGCAAAGTAGACAGTAGTTCCAAAGCAGTCTGGCCTTCGCGCCAATATATTTACATTAAATCTGCTATCTATACCAAGACACAAGTAACTTAAAACCTGCAGAAATTCCAGCTGTGTGAGGTCTTTACCATTTATTAGTTTTTACCATTTTTTACAAGTATTAAATTTTGTTTTCACACAATTGTTCTCAGTTTAAATATTCTGTTTTTCCTGAAAAGATGAGAATTATGGTAATCTGAATGCAGAGACAGATCAAAAATGAATTCCTAAAATACATTTTAATATAATAAATTTTGTCTAGTTATATTTGCTTTATTCATTGAAAAAGTATAGATTATTTGCATACTACATAGTCATGTGTATTTACATATCTCATCTCTTAATGCATACATTAAGTAGCTGTTAATAAAGTCAATGTTTAATTCATTCATTGTTGAGGTTTGTATTCTGTTTTTCCTTTATAAATAGTAATTCAAGATGTTGTCTTCCATACTTACAATATCTTTACCTAGAAATATCAGAAATTTAGTAATATTACAAATCGAGTGTTATTATAATCTAATATTTGTATTCAAAATATACAGCTATTAAAATATAACTCAAATAAAGCAAGTCATCCTTCTCCATTTTTTTTTAAACAATCAACCAAAAACATGAGAGGGCTTCAGGCAGTTTGAAGAAAAATTCCATTATCTTTGAATTCCAGTTTTGTCCACGAACTTTTTGAAGCCCTCTCATTTAAGGATACCTGGTGTATCACTATAGGATGAGCACTGGACTGTTAAATAGAAATTCATGGTTTAAACCCACCCGCCACTCCTTGGAAACCCTGCACAGAGTTGCTTTGAGTTGGAACCAACTCAAGGGCACTTAACAACAACAACAACATATAAGTTTGGTAAAAGGTATTGTTCTGCCTCTTTTATTGACATGGATGAATCACAAATATATACCATGAATACATTCTATATTATGGAGTCCTGGTGTGGAGCCGCTAATGTGTCAGACTGCAAAGTTGTTTGAACTACAAAGTCGGTGGTTCACGCTCACCAGTTGCTCCTTGGAAGCCCTACACAGGGTCACTATGGGTCGGAATCGACTCGGTGGCACTTAACAGCAACAACAATACATTCTAGACCTTGGTTTCTGAAACTTAAAAAATTCTGACTGCATCTTATGTTTTACAAAATCTCTTATTAGACTGTTATGTCTGTGTTTTCTGTTGATGAAAGGTGTTATATTACCTTGACTCAGTCACTTCATCTAACCATGAGTGGAGCTCCATCTGGCCCAGCTGGTACAGGGAAAACAGAAACCACCAAAGATCTTGGACGAGCCCTTGGCATGATGGTTTATGTATTCAACTGTTCAGAGCAAATGGACTATAAAGTAAGTTAGTTATAAAACAATGTATAAAATGATAGTTTCTAACAACATTGTTCCTAATTTATAATGATTCCAAATAATAGCCTGAAATCACCTTCCGGTAGATTCTTTTTTTTTTTTTCATGTTTTATTGTGAATTATGGGATCCAGTAGATTCTTAATGCCTCCCACCATCGTTTAGTCCATAGGAAATATCTACAAGGGATTGGTGCAGACAGGAGCTTGGGGCTGCTTTGATGAGTTCAATCGAATTGCTGTGGAAGTTCTATCAGTGGTGGCAGTACAGGTGAAAATGATCCATGATGCCATCAGAAACAAGAAGAAGAGGTGAGTGACATGTTTGTTTCTGTTATTACAAAGTAAAACATAAACAAGTAAAGCAGTTACTGTCAAGTCAGTGTCCACTCATAGTGACCTCGTATGTCAGAGTCCGAGGAGAACTGTGTTCCATAGGGTCATATGTGTTAGAGTCCGAGGAGAACTGTGTTCCATGAGGTCATGTGTCGGAGAACTATGTTCCATAGGGTTTTCAATGGCTAAACATTTTTTTAAAGTAGATTCCAGACTTTTCTTTCAAGATGCCACTGGGTGGACTTGAACCTAACTTTAAGTTAGCAGTTGAGGACATTAACCATTCACATCAACCATGCATTCCAAAGAGAAAGAGTAAGGTAAAATAAAGTAAGAGATCCTTCCAGGCTATTGCTACCTCTCCCTGGCTCATAAATTGATTAAGTTAAGTAAGGGTGATTGATATTAAAGAATTAATTTTTAATGACTGCCCATGTTTCATTAAAGTGTGAATAAAACAAAGGTATAGTCCATTACTTGAATCATTTCAAAAATAAAAAGGCATCTATGGTGCTAAGTGCAGTGATCAGTTGTTAGTCTTTATCCTACCTGGGCTGTCTGCATTTGGTTCATTTGGTCACTCCCTTTTATTGAGACACTGTCTTCACATGGGTTCCAGGATTCTCCACTCTGTTAGGTGTCTTCTCACCTCACAACCTCTCCATTGCTGATTTCTTATCTATTAACTGGAGGAAAGAACATTATCTTCCTTATAGGGTATTGTGATGATTAAATATGTTGATTAAATTACTTCTGTCTTTGGTGTTGATAAAGCATGTAAACTACTTGGATCAAACTGCCCACAGTAGACACCATGTAAGTGTTAGCTATTAATTATTATTATTATTATTATATCTTGACCTGATACTATTGGATGACATAAGGCTTAGTCTTTGAAATGTCTTCCTTAATTCATCTACACTTCTCCCTTGATTTCATCTTGTCATGGCTTTGAAAACCATTTGCTGCTGCCTACCATAAGTGCAGACCTTTCTCCCACACCCTAGAATCTTATCAACAGCACCCTGTTGAGGCTCAAAACTCCACTTGATGCCTCATAGGTCCATGGCTAAAATAAAAAGGCTGGTTATTCCACCAACTCCTGCTTTTCTAAGTGTCCCCCTCCCCATAGATTACAACTTCACATTCTTCAAACATTAAAAAGTAAATCTAGAATCTGACCATTTCTCAGCATAATATAGTGTTCCAAAGGACAAAACACAACTGGCACTTATGGTTTGTTGGCCTACTTTGAGAAATTAAGCAATATAGTACACAGCATGATTTTGATTCTCTTTGAAACCTTTGTGTGTCTGTGTGTATATGTGTGCGTGTGTGCCTCATTCATTCGGCTTACTCCTTCCCCCCTCCCCCTTTTTGATTCAAAGATAGCTCAGCTAGCTATCTTGTCCACAGAAACATATTTAATCTAGTCACTGGGGAAAGATTTTTTAGTACCTTATGACTGTGAACCTATTGTACTAGTTTGCAGTTGATCAATAGATGTATCTAGATATTTCCACCTCCTAGAAAGCCTCTTACTTCTATTCTGTGGCCCTTGGGATATGAGTTTCCTGTGATCAGATGTCTTTATTACATTGCCTGCCTCTATTCTAGTGTCTTATTAGAAACGTTAAGTTCTTTCTGCTCTGAACTCCAGCCATATTTAGTTTAGGTTCTAGTCAAAATCATTATTTGATGCAACCCAGATATCACTTGAGTCATCCTTTCTTATGAATTTAGGTAAATCCTGGTGTGGTAATGTTGGATAAGCACTGGACTGCTAACCACAAGGTTGATTGTTCTGACCCACTAGCCACTCCTTGGAAAGCCTGTACAGGGTTGATATGAGTCAGAACCTACTCGACGGTTTTTAACAACAGCAACCATCTGTGTAGGTTCATGATGTATGAAAAAACCAATTATAACTCTTTCTTTTTTTAACTTAAAAAACGAAACAAAGTACTAACAGATATTCAGTGCTTCCTAACTGATGACACCCCTTTTTCTCTTCCCTTTCACCCCTGATAATCACCAATACTAACTACACTTCATTTGGTCTCCTCTATCTGTAGTTATGCCTATGTGTGAGTCATGTTTCTTCATCCTCATGTAAACTCACCTACATACAGATACTCAGGCTTCTTCATGATTTTCTGGGTTTATTTATAGTCCCTCTGTACTTGTGGATTTAGGAGATGGGTCTATATCTGGACCATAAAGCCCTTCAACATCTTGCTGGTTGTTCTCCCCACTTGACATCCATGCATTTGACTTGTGGCGCCCCCTACCATGTGTACAAATAGTAAGTCATTCGGCTCAGTAGTCACCTCTCTTCCTGTGAGCAGGCTTGCCAGGCTTCATCTGTCTGCCTCTCCAGGCATTCTGGGTAATGATGATTTCTCCATTTGTGAGGATGGTGCAGTGTTTTGTTCTATTGTACATAGGGTCATTGTGAGTCAGACCAACTTGACTGCACTTAACAACCTTTACTAAATAAAGTCCACCCTCAGTTAGCTCAGAGTCCCTGAGTTAAGCAAATGGCTAACTGAAAGGTTGCAAATTCAAGTCCCTCCAGAAGCATCTTGGAAAAAAGGCCTGATGGTCTCATTCCAAAAAAATTAGTCACGGTTCTACAGTGACTGCCATGAGGTTGCCATCGGTCAAAATGAAGTGACAAAAACTGGTTCTCAATTAGCTCAGCAGCTCCATTCCCTTCCAACTCTGAGACATAGGCCCAGCTCCTTAACTAATTTTACTCCTTGAAGATTCTAACACACTTCTTCAACCTTCCCCTCTCTCAGCATGAAATAAGCCTTAAACTTGTCTCACCTACTCCCATTTGAAAGTTTTCTGCTACTTGTCTATAAATTGTGTTCTTAGAGCTCTTAGCAACAACAACAACAACAGTACAGCTCTTTACCACGTCTGTGCTCTTGTCAGCATCTGCTGAATTGGGCCTTTGCAAATCTTTCCAGAAACCGTTTTTCTGGTCCTTCAAGTGGTAATAATAGTAACATTATTGTTTTTGTTAAGAGCCTTCAAGTTGGTTCCATTTCACAGAGACCCTATGTAGGTTTCCTGAGGAGCAAACTATTAATAGCAATAGTCATCGCTAATATCTGTTAAATATTTACCATGTTCCAAGCATTGTACACTTAGTTATTTTAATCCTCATATAATCCAATAAGGTAGGTGATAATTTTTTATTATTATTAGATGAGGGCATTGGATAAGAGAGGAGCTAATTAAGAAACCTAAAAAGATAGAGCTGGTTTGTGAACCACCACAATCGAATTTCAGAGTTATACTGGTCTACCTTTCAGGAATAAGGAGCTCTGATAGTGTAATGGTTACGAATCGGGCTGCAAACCGCAAAGTCAGCAGTTCAAAACTACCAGCTGTTTAGTGGGAGAAAGATGAGGCTTTCTTTCTCCCACGGAAAGGTTTACAGCCTCGGAAACCCTGTGCAGGGTCACTATGACAGTAAAGGTTTACAGCCTCGGAAACCCTGTGCAGGGTCACTATGACAGTAAAGGTTTACAGCCTCGGAAACCCCTGTGCAGGGTCACTATGACAGTCAGAACCAACTCCACAGCACATAACCACCTTTTAGGAATTGTCAACAGATATTTGTTGAAAAAGAAGGTTGGAAGGAAGGAATGGAGGTGGGAAGGCAGAAAAAAACAAAATAAAGCCTTAATAAGTAATCATTTTCTCCCTTTAGCAAGGGCATTGTCTATGCTGTTTACCTTCAAGTAACTATAGCCCACCTTGAAGGCAAAAATGCCATCACCTTTCATTAAATATTCATCAAAACCTAATATTTTTCCTATTCTAGCTGACTATGTTGTTAGATGCCATCTAGTTGGTTCTGACTCATAGCGACGCTGTATCCAACAGAATAAAACACTGCCGGTCCTGCGCCGTCCTCATCATTGTTGCTGTGTTTGAGCCCAGATGCTTACGATTGTTGTTGTTGTTGTTGTTAGTTGTCATTGAGTTGTTTCTGACTCATAGTGACCCTGTATAGGGTTTCCAAGGAGCAGCTGCTATGTTTGAACTGCCAACCTTGTGGTTAGTAGTCCAGTGCTTATCCTACAGTGCCACACCAGGGCTCCTAAGGCAGTAGTAAAATATGAAAGAATACTTCATATGTTTGTAATTCCTTGGAGGGGGGAAGGAGAATGTTTTTAATAAACATGCTTCAAAACATATTTCAAATATGTATGCTTATGAATGTTAAAGAAAATTCTACAGAATAAACAGCTTCCTAATAATAATTTGCATTTTGCAGTGGTTTGCATTTGTCAGTGTGCATTCATATTCAATGAACACATTTAATTTCATCCATATTCTTTTTATGGTAGATTTGTATTTCTTGGGGAAGTGATCACACTGAAGTCATCGGTTGGAATATTTATTACGATGAACCCAGGATATGCTGGTCGAACAGAATTACCGGAAAATCTCAAAGCTCTTTTCAGGCAAGTGTTGGGCTTTGTGTCAGCAGCTGGAGCACTCACGCCACCTAACGTCGTGGGTTTGTACTGTTCAATGATTTGCTTTACTCTCTCATTCCTATGGGAAAACCCTTATCTCTTTAGGATGTCTTTATAGTGAGAACTTTCACTATGATAAATTAATCCTATTGAATCATGAAACCAAGACTCAAAATCATTAAAAGTTACGTGGAGCCAGGACGGTTGGAAGAACCCAAGAACCTATTGTCCTAAGACAATCTTAAATCAAAAATAGCTCCTGAAGTCTTCTTAAAACCAAACAATAGTCTAGCTTAACTAGCAAAAACTGTCTGAATTATGCTCTTTTAATAACTATCTGTATAGGATCAAAGTGACAATAGTAATTTGAAAGATTCGATCGAGCCTTAGGGGTCAGTTAGTTTATGTTAATGTGAGAGGACCGATTCAAAAGGGAGGGGAGAATGGTTACACAATTTAAACAATGTCATCAGTGTCCCTAAATGTACATGTGAAAAATGTTGAAGCAGTTTGTGTTTTCAGTGTATATTCTCAAAAACAACAAAATAAATAAAAATACATATATATGTAATTATATATGTTGTTGTGAAGTTCTGTCAAGTCGGTTCTGACCCATAGTGACCCTGTGTAGGGTTTCCAAGGAGCAGCTGGTGAGCTTGAACCACTGACTTTGCAGTTCAAAAGGCTTTGCAATCTGGCACATTA